AGAAGGGTTACAAGGTTTTTGGGGAGATGTCATATTTTATTTCTTAAACTGACTGAGAACACAGATGAAGCACAGCTTGGCAGCTATTATTTTACTTTCTCTCGTTGTTTAATCCATTAGGCAATTTGCAAGAAATTAGGTCTTTTTCCTGGGTTGTTCTGGATTAATAGATATATGCCATGACTTCTGACCAAGACGAATCTCTCCCAATACATTAAAAAATTAAAAAGACCGATTTGCGTGTTGGTCAGCAAAACTTCGTTACGCATGTAACACTGTAATCTGGGTATATTCACAGGGGACCACTGCATAGCTAATCAATAATTGGATGAAAGGGTAACAATCCAATAACACCATTGTAAGTCATGGTCAGTAGCAATATTATAATGGCAAATTAAAGTATTGCTGATTTTAGAGGAACTTCAAAGAAGACACCCTCAGAATTAATGTAGTTTATGTAGTTTATTTAATTAGGATAATGCGGTCAGAGAGTTAGTGTACTTCATAGTCAACACCTTTAATTGATAAAACTATACTTTTAAAAATCTTCAATGAAGTCTCTGTGTTGCCCTAACAATTTTCAAAAAGCATGTTTATCTCACATTGTCTCTGAGCTCATTCCTAAGTATCTAGGTACACTCCATATGTGTAAATAAAAGCTCCGGATGGTATTTTCGAAGGCTCACTGTGTTGGTTTATTCTGATCTTTCTGATTTCAATGAGAATTTTCCCAATTACTTCAAAGAGAGACAGCTAGGCCAGGAGAGCCAGTACTGAGTACTTCTGGATATTGTGCATTCACCGGGTAGCTTATATGCACAAGAAAAGAACGTTAACATGGCAAAGTGCTTAAAGGGTAGAAAATACTAGAAAGACTGTTAGCTGGTAAACTAAGCTCCTTCATACCATTACACAGACTCTAGTTATATGATCAAGGGAATTCTGGCATTTAAATTAAGTATTTTTTCTCCAACTCATCAAAGAATCCATTTCTTTTTTTTGCAAATTTAGGTGAAACTTAAAAAATACTAATGTTTCTCCTGAAACATGGAAATAGCATGGAAAATTTCAGGCTAGACAGTTTGTCAAAATGATAAGCAGCTGAAATCAGGGTCCTCTGCTAGGAACTGTGAAGCAACTTTACCTCTTGTCACACCTCCCTGATCTAAAGAAGAAAGTCGCACCAGCATTTTCTGGGTCACAATTCATCATCACTGAAGTGACATAATGTATCGCTGCATATACGGGCCAAACTTGGCTTCATAAGAAAGAGTATTTGTCCTGGCTGAAACCAGGACAGTATTATTCCCTGTCACCTAGACACAGATCTGTATAATCAGATAGGAACCAAAGATCAAAATGGGTTTTTTAAAGGAATTTGGACAAACTGTGGTTCTTAGAATTGTTACCATAGATTTTCCACCTGTTGAGAACATTTACTACCTGGGACATTTACGATATGAAAAAGACTTGGTAAATATTTTCTAGCTTTCAGTCCAATCTTTAATGAATTTTTAAATACTTTTTAATGGCCCAATAAAGCAATGGAATATGATGCCTATATAATAGAAAAAGAATTGTTTTCAGTGAGAACCTGATTCCTACAACCACATCTAAATACCATTGCCATCTGATAGACTGTATCAAACTATAAATCTTGCAGTTAACTCACTTGAGTAATGAAAAAGATGGATAATTCACTGATTAACCCGTCCCATTAATATCTGTTTTCACAGATCATTACACAAACCTGAGTAAGAGTCTCCTGTTCATGTAGCAAAAGGAGTTTCGTTCCAGATCCTTCAACTCTCTGCTCCAGCATCAGGGAAAAGTGTTCAATACACTTGATGGAAAGCTTTTCTTGGAGTGTTAAGATGACATCCTAATTAACAAAGCATTTATAAAATGTGCTTAAATTAATTAAGTGCTTGGCACCCGGTTCTCTTCTGCCACACACCCTGCATTTACCCAGCACAGGGTGGAAGCCCTGATGTTAAATGGGAGGACGGTCGTGTTTTGTGCCTGTTCTGTGTGAGTATACAGGACATCCCACACGTTTACCCAGTGAAAAATCAGCGCCTTTACATACAAACATCCCTGAGATGCTATCAGATAGGCACATGAACAATATATACATGGGATTGCTGTGAATCGACAACTGTCTGTGCAGTTTAACATGCAGATTATACTTGTGTGGCCCTTAGATCATATCTCTCTGTCTTCCTGGAAATAAAACCTCTCCATCAGCAAAGGAAAGACGGTCTCGCCACTATTCTCTTCGCTTACTGTTGGGGCAGGGCCACCAAGCAGTATAAACCGAATTTATATGTTCAACAAAAAAATTAAATGAATGGCCTTTATTTGTTTTTATAGCAAGGTGTTCTTTTTGAAGTCCACTTCTTGAGTTATAAATGCTGACAGAAAAGTCAACAATGATGATACTTGTGCAGAACAATAGCTCTAAATTCAGGGACCATGTTAATTTGTAATATAAACCCCATTTTTAGAGACACTTAATTAGTTTTTTTCACATTGGATTATGTCTAATTTGAGAACATTTTTTTCTAAAATAACAGGTAAACAAACCTCACAAAACTATTCATCCAATCCCTACTTTACTTTCATATAAAGCTTTGTAAATATATGCAGAGTATTAATGTCAGTATCATCTGGCAAACTATCTTTTGCTTTAGGGAATGTAGTGGGAAAAAGAAATATATAATAACCCATAAGTTTAAAAGTTTCACATTATGTTGGTGAAAATATTAAAACATTTCTATACATCCAAAAGATTTTTAGATATACCTAAGTATTCAGATGGATAGGACTTACTAAGGAGATTATGATGAACTGTAATCCAAGTGTTTTAACATAATTTAGGAAGATTAATTCATCAATTACAGTGTGTTTATGGAAAATCAACACCGAACTGGTGGAAGGATGAAAAATGTATGTAGGAGGATGTGGACAACTCTGTACAATGTAAAGAATATAAGACAGTATTAATGGATTGCAAGCAACCACTCTCAATAATGAAGGTTAACATTACACTATCCTGGCTAATGGGGAATTTATTGCTTACACATTAAATCTACTTTTATTTATACTCCTAAACTATGCTCAGAGACAAGAGGCATAACAGTAACATGAAGAGACATAATATTAAATGTAAGATATTAAGAGGGGGTAACAATGGCACTGTTCTCCACTAGCTGTTTTGGACTTTTTAAAATATGATGCTAAGGAACATGGGAACTGAATTACTGAACGAAATTTTTTGCCAGCCTATCGTCTCATCCGATAACTTACAGTCAGCCCAGGTGCTACCTCGCAGCAATAAGGAAAGCGAGGAGTGCAGGTAAGGTGCTGGTTGCACCCTCGTTCTTAAGTGGTGAGTTACTGGACTGCTGGGGGCAGAAAAAATCTGCATTTTCCTTGGCTCAACTGGGGCACATCTACTTCACCTCAGTTTAAGAAAAGAAGCAGCAATCCACACCCACCCATCCACAATGAGGAACATACACACACACACATGCAAGAATATGTAATATATAGGTGTGCAGGCTACAGAATATATAATTGCCTGAATTAGATGCAAAGGAAATTATTCCTACAAGAAGTCAGAATGACTAAGGTCAAAGCAGGCTTACAGCATCAATGCAGCTATGTTGCTGAGCCCACATGGGCATCTTTGCAAATGACTTCAGATTAGATATATGATCTTACGGTACATGACACACCCATGACAGAACCACTGGAAACTAATGTAATGTGATGTGATGGCCAAAGACTGGTCTTCAGAGACAAAATTGCGTGGAACAGGTTGGTTGTTTTTACGTTCATAAAAGAAACTACTGGAAAGTGGGCTTGAAGGCCTTAAAAGGGTACGGAGACCTCACTATCTGCATGAAGCATGTCTCCTATTTCTTCACCCAATCAAATTCTCAAATGGATTGAAGGAATTCAGTATCTCATGGCTGTAGAGTGGAGGCTTCTATCCACTACCTGCACTCAATCTATGCCTAAGGTATATATATGAACTATAAACAGATACCACAACCCATTTTTAAGTGTAACTTCAGGATCTGTTTTGCCTTCAGACTGGAGTAAATTTCCTCTTGTTTACCTTAGTCAGTCACTCTCCTTGCTGTTCTAACTGATTGAGCACACTGCTGAATCACAGTGAGCACAAAAGCAGCCTTTCTTCAAATAGGCATAGCTTTACAATCCCTTAAAGCCAGCAAAAGCTGTCAGTGCAGCTGAAAGTTGCATCCCCAGCCTTCACTGATCATTCCTACCCCTGCATCTCTCTTGTCTCAGTGTCCCAAGCATGCACGCTACATGTGGTGAACTAGATTCGGTAACCAATCTATGTTAAAACTATCTCACCCGAACAGAAGTGCTGAAGAGACTAGCAGCATGCCCAACGGTGCTAGTTGTGCTGCTTACTATGCTACTCCAAGGCACTCACAGACACCAACGATGCCTCTGGCTTAGGAACCTACGTGGAACAGTGCCACAGACAATCCCTAGCAGCCTCCGTTGTGTGCCAGGGCTTCACCTCTTTAATGCTGTATGTGAAATGCGTTATGAAAGCATAGAGGGCATTACACCGAGACGAGCAATTTATCACCAGTAAAACCCTACAATATCCCATTCCAGGTTCACTGGATGACAAGCTAGCTGATATTCAATAAGTAACCAACATCTTAATCTCCTTAGCTCCTGACTTCTGCTGACAAATCATGATAAGACCACACAATTTTCCCTATGCTCCAGGCACATTAAAATGATCACTTCTACCTCTTCTTCATTGACAATCAATATTGACAATCATTGACAATATGTTTTTAGCAGCAGAAAAATGGACTGAAACCTCATTATTCCTGACCTATGAGTCCAGCCCCAGATGAACACACTAGTAATTTTGTTCTTGAAGCATTCCAAGTAATTATAACTACAGAAGGTCTTAAAAAGAGTTAACTGGCATTCTTGGCATTGCACACCAAGATAGCCTACCTTTATTGAAGTGCTGCAGTCAAAACGGAAAGATTTGGTTTGTCCATTTTCAAGATACACCTTCAGAACATTTGGCATGAAAAGAAGTGAATTGTCCTTAACTGTTTCCTGCCAAGCAAATCAGTGAATCAGATTACAGCATGTAACAAGGGAAATCTAAATGTTGTTCTGTAAAGAAGGACATCATTCAGATGGAAAGGTAACAAATTAAAAGGGGTGTGTTGCCTGAAATTGAAAGCAGAATTAGCAATGCCCTGCAAGTGTCTAGCTATGCTCATTACAACAGCACTCTATAGGTCTCTTTCCTGGAAAAATATATCCGTTCACATACATTTTATGTTTGGCTTGGATTATTTTCTTTCCCACAGTATATGCTACCTCTGAAGTTGAAACATTTTCAATAAAACAGAAAAATAGATTACTGTTTCTCTGAATATAGTCAACTATTTAGTGTCTTCAATCTACAAAACAGGAACTGCAGATTCATTAGTAAGAATTACAATCAAGATGTTTTACATTCTTTTTATAGCTGGATATTAAATGCTAATATCTGTCATCATTTAAGAAGAGTAACATATAATATTGCTACTTAATTGTGACAATTCATAACAAGGATAGTAAAATAAACAGGAAAAAGGAAGGGAAACAAAGCTTTGTTGTTTTGTTCTTTTTTTAAGCAGAAATTGCTTTTGACAAAATGCAGTATCAATTTATGTTTGGAGGAGAGTTGGATAAAGACATCAGTGTGGAACGATGTTCTGGCAAATTATGAAAATGAGCCATGAGTTCATGTTTAAGGAGGAGTTCAGTGCCTCTCAAAGGGAGGCTGACTTTGCCTGAGGGCTGGAAACAACAAGTTCAAGTAGATAAATTTTAAAGAGGTCTGTAAGGTAATGTTAATCTGTTTTCCTGACATGCTACTTCTCTTGAGCTTACAGGTTTTCCTACTACAAAATTGCTCTGAAAAACAAACAAGCAAGCATTATCAAGACTATAAAGACAGACATGTATGTGCTATCACCACAAAATGCAATCACTAGCATTTTAACTTTATTTTAAGAAGGGACAAATTTTTTTCACAATGTTATGGGCCCAATGGACTTTAGAGACAGATCTTTCAAAAACTTCAGAAACAGAAAAACCCTTCCCTTTGAAAGTCTATCATTGCTGTTCCTATCATATAATTCCCCCACTTCCCAGCCTTGAGGCGTACCTTTGGATGAAATGCTCAGTCCTTCCTGAGGTTAAATAGTTGAATACTCACCGACACCTGGCCATTGATAATTACTTCTTCTGAAAAGCGCACTTTGACAGGATTGGACTTCAATCTCGCCTTTTTTGCAGCACTAATAAAAGCTGATTTAGGAGACTGGAAGGGAAAATGATGACAAGATTTATCACATAATTTCAAGTTAAAACCTATCTTTCCTTTTTCAGTTATTCTCCCTGTTTCTCACACAGTGGGAACTTCATGTATACAGCAACACTTTGCATACCATGCACTGAAGAATGGAAATACAGTCAAACCATAATGCTTCCTGAGATAATACGTATGTACCTACATATAAGGAGTCAGAAATGCATAATGCACATACTGAAAGTTATCCCACTGTCAGACTGGAGCGATGAGAAGGGCTCTCAGCCTACATAAAAATTTTTTGTAGTGCTTCCACAATGACTGCTGTCAACCAAACTTGTTTGCATGAATGGACACCGACCAGTGACCAGGCAGTGACCCTTCCTTCAAACACTGAGCAGAAAATCTTTGCATAATCTATGATCCACCAGATACAGATACACAAACAACTTTTGCCAAAAAAGTGTCTGAGAGCTCTCCAAGTGCACTGGCATCTCACTACATTAGTCCACTTCAAAACACAGGTTAGAACCACCAGAAGGCACCTACAGGTCTGGAGGTTTCCCCTGAACGTAGCCCGAACACGCACCCTGTGCAAGGCTTGCCTTCAACAGATCAGATATTTGTGGGACTTCATGGATTAGAAGTCTAGAAACATTCCTTATTTTCTTCTGGAACCTAATTGACTTCTACATTATTCAATGGATTCACCTGGGATCAAGTGTTCAGCCCTTGGAAAAAAATTTTCTCTCCATTTGAGGAGTTTGACTAACAACCCATTTTTAGTAACAAATTAAATATTCACAGTCAATGGCGTTTCCATTTTCAGCAGCAGAGCAAGGTAGTTTTATTCGCAGGTCAGTTACAAACACAGTGCTTCTTAGCATTGCTTAACTCCATAACCATGTTAATGGGCAACGAAAAAAATTCTGGCTTTGGCTGAAAATCACTGGGCTCTTTCAGGCCAGGTTTTGGTCCATTAGTTTCAGTAAAATGTGAATTAAGATTTTCAGAATCTTATTCTAACTCCTGAGAAGTAGTCTTACTACTTTTGGATACTGAAAATCCAAACTCATGTTGGATTGCCTGTGAGAAATTAGTGCAGGCATCAGTGATGATGATCCTGGAATAATTTCCTGTTACCAATGCGGCATGACAGTAGTCCTTGTAAACACATGAAGTCTTGTCACCATCACTCAAATTTTGCCTCAACTAACAATCTGCAGGATTAATGGAGTATTCCAAGGCCACGTGATGTTGTTATGTTTAATCTCTGCTGAAACTGCTTAAAAAGTTACTTTCTTGAGATGCAGAAGCCTTGTTTCTAGTAACTAGCAGGAAGAAGTCTCTAGCTCCTGTCTGTATGCCACTGATTTATTATCACATCAAAAATGTGTTAGCTATTACCACAGCTCAGTATCAACCAGTGAACAAAGAATGAAAGATGCCACATTCTCCCAGGAAATATCAAAGCCATCCAATAATTCCTGGAGCACAAAATAGAACGAGGAAATAAAAATGAATGCTTCTTCACTTTTACAGTTCATTCTTTCTTACCTCTTCTCTAGCAGCTATGACCATACATCTTTTTAATCAGTAACAGTAAATGACAGAAAATTCAACCCCATGATCAAACCAAGCTCAGCTTCCAAAGCCAGTGCTGAAAAACGCAGAAGTCCCCCAGAAGACTTGAAACAACCACCGAAAAGAAAGAAAGAAAAAAACTTTAAAAAAAAAAAGTTAATGTCTCCGTGTGCGGGACCCAAAACACTTCTTCAGCAAGAAGGGACAACGTGGAAACGCTGAAGAAGCATGCTTACCTACTGTACTATATGGCACCCAAATAATGGACTGCAACCTGTTGATTGCCACTGCCACGGGGCAGCACAGCTATAGGAGTAGGCTACTGGCTCTCTCTTGCAGGGCAAGGGGAAAAAAGTGGCTTTCACTTACTCTTCGTGCTGGAAGAGGCTTTCTACAGCTGTTGGCTCTTATTGCAGATGTCTCACCAGCCTGGCCTCTCTTTACAGGCAGAATGCCAAATTTGCTTCCAGATTCTGGCAAGGTTATTGCTCTACAGCAAATCCGGCAAACCGCTATGTGGCTCCGTCGCTCTCTACAACCTCTCTCCCCAACCTCAAAAGTCACTTGCAGGGGGAATAAACACTTAAATTACGTTATTGCAAAAATGTGATAGGGGACTCTTACGCAACCGAAAGGTTTGAATATATGCGAGTTCCCCAGGACTCCACCAGGACACAGGGCTTAATGTACATTATTGCACAGCCAGGGGAGCATGCCATGGTCTGCCATAAAACATGGCGCTTCCCTCCCTTCCCACTTCTTCTGTGGCAAGGCGGTGAGGACTCCAGCCCCTTGCCAGGCACTCTGGGTGAGCCGGGAAGCAGATTGCTTTCTAAAAACCTCCAAACTATAAACCAGGGGGTAAGAAAAACCGGATCAGCTGCGCCGGGTATTTGGGGGAACGTTCTCAGCTGGTTAAAGGTTTGAGTAATAGCACAGCTTTACATTTAATTGCACAATCTCATTGTTTCTACTTCTGCATCAACTTGGCACTTGACATTTTCTCCTTGAGAAAGGAACTGTTTCTAAAGAGTGCGGCAAATGCCTAGGAAAACAGTTGGGTTTGATTGTCGAAACTCCCTTGTCTAACAAAGCATCAGCAAGATGATGTGCTGCTCTATTTTATTTTAATGTCTTCAGGTTTGTAGGCGAAGAATGATGCCAATTAATGATTCTCAGAGTGCCAGGTTCATTTGTTTCTGATACTTCGTCTTTTAGCCAAATGGAAGCCATTATCCTCAGTTAATGACCTTAAGCAGGAGGTGTTTACACTAATGCAGAACATTTATCACTGCAAGTAAAGTATTTGCATTGTCACAGATAAAAACAGCTTAATTAGAGTGACTTTTGCAAAATGAGGGGATGCATTTTAACAAGTCAAAATACTTCAAAAACCCACAAACTTCACACTGTGTGACCTAAGCACTGTTTCCTGTTAGAAGTTCAAATTGATCAGGATTTTAAATAATTTATACTTGTTTACACAGAACTCAGTAAAAATTCAGCTGATCATTTCAACACTTCCTGGAGAAACTGCTAACAAGAGAAATGAAGCATTGCATAGAGATTTGTTTGGAGGAAATGCTAGTGAAGACTGAGGCCCTCTTTTGAACCCTACTGACTAGGGACTGCAGCCAATGGGCATCCCATCAGCAGGGTCAAAACATGAGAGATTGCTATAACAAGACGAGGCTCTCTGGAAAATGTTATTTTTCTCATTTTCTGGACTTTTCAAAAGTAGATCCTATTTCTGTCAGCAGCATTATAGCAGGTCATTTTTTGATAGGTCCTAGAAACAATATCCTGCATTTTGAGGGAAACTGGTTTTTTGATGAAAATAAGAATGTCTAGTATTTTGTCCACTTTTGCAGGTAAACTATAATTTGGGGGCGATTCCAAGGGAAATGGTGTTTATTTGCTGCAAAAGCCCCTTTGAGTGCTCTTGCTGGCAGATGTGCTGCAACAACAAATCCTTTACTCATGTTCAAGAAAAAGAAGGACTTAGCATTTAGAAGAGCGTAGTGTAGTACTGAGCTACCATAAAGAAATGAAACAAGACAGCAGTATGGGACAGTCAAAAGGTGAAAAGAAAACCTGAAAATAAGTGTCAAAGTCAAACAGAAATACTGTAGTTTTAAATAGCCACAGATTGTTTATATGCCATCAGTTTTAAGCTTGTTACTTAAAATGAGTCATTAGTTTAATATGAAATATTATGTTTGTTAGGAAATAAGGAAAAATTACATGACTGCAAAAATGTGTTGACTTTTTGGCCCATCCCTAAAGGCAATTATATGACACAAAATTTAGCATGCAAGTATAATGTCAATAAGAGGAAGAATTAAATTTATTAAGTGGAACAGTACATAATGCCCAAAGGCACAATGAGTACTGCCATTCATAGCTGGGAGTGAGGCTGATACAACTACACTGGCTCACAAGAGCACTGTAGAAGAGCAGGCAGGGACATGGAAGAAATAACATGGAGAAGTTTTATCACACAGTAATTTGTTATATAACCACAGGGTACTGACAGATCATCATGAGGAGTATTTCTTTGTTAAACTCTTGGCACAAATGTAATTGCTGAAATACTGGTCAGATTTGGGTTCTCTCTTAAAAGTTGGTAATCTATCATAGCGAATTGTATTTTAGTATTTGCATTACTTATATTTTACTACTTTTAGATGGTAATCATAGTCTGATCATTAGTCCCATACATGTATAACATGTACCTGTAAGATGGGGAAGAGCCAAACCTTACTTTAATGCTGGCATTGAGAAAATCCAATCCATTCCATCTCCAGTAAACGTCAGTCTACTTTACTGTGACTGTCCCAAAAACCATGAGTGAAACAGGTCAGCTTCAGACTCTAGAATGTGCAGACATTGCAGTTCATCTTGTGACCAGATGGGCCTGGGCCATCTACCTCTGCGGTTATTAAATGTGTAGGTCCTCCACAAAATCCCCTCCACTGGCCTTTCGTGATTCTGCCTCTCCAAAGTTCAGCCCTTTACATTCACGGATTACTCCTTTACACTCATGATTACCTCTCATACACAAGTGACTGCTCTTAATCAAGTGCAGAAAAGTACAAAAAAAAGTCAGCCATGACATACTACTTTCAGCCCTACAACTCTGCAAGGATGAGGATCTTTGGGAATGAAACCTTCACCCCATACAAACCCAAGCTAAAATGAACAAATGAAGGACTATATGAGCAGCAGTGCTCACTGGAATTTGCACCGCACAGAGATGGAAGAAGAAAGGCTGCTTAGCACAGGTCTGACATGAGAGGAGGCTGCTTCAAATAGCAGAGTGGTTGGACAGTGGCCATGGACCAGGCAGCACTTCCAGGAGGCAACGCAGTGATGGCAACTTTGTCAGGACCCTCTCCTGTGTTATGTATGGAACTGACCATAGCAAAAAGCTGATGTGGAAGTTACGCAGTGGAGAAAGTCCTCAGGATGACTGTAAAAATTGTACACATTCAAAGAAAAAAAGCCATAATTTCTACACCAATTTCACAACTTCAAGGAGTCAAAAATCGCCTTGCTCAAAATGCTCACGTCTAACTTCTGAAGGATTTCTAAAACTACACCTTGGTATTCTTTTTCACTTCAGATTTTGAAGACTTTGTGACAAACCTGTTTCTTTTTTGTGCCCTTCTTTACAACCACAAGTCTAGATATTGTAGTTGCTGCTATTAAATGACTCCAGAAGGCAAAGCAGCATGAAAAATACTGTGAGATTCTCAATAAGATTGTTGCCACAATCATTACAAGTGTTATTTGTCATAGTTTTTCTGCAAATGTTGTGTCTCAGACATATAACTGTGTTATAACAAGAAACATCCCTTTCAAAACACAAAAAGATCTTATCCTTTTCCCATTGCAGAACTTATGCACAGCAAAATTGCCATAGATCTCAGCTGGGCCTGGACTACATCCAAGGAGCTTAAGACATTAATCATGAAAGCAACCTATCAAATGATCTCTACACATAAAATCTGAACAGATATCAAAACAAGCAAGTTATTTGATTTGAGTAATGCTTAAAACTTAATAAGGCAACAATCAGAACAATAGTCCATTTACAGAATAAAATGTTCAGAAATCATAATCAAATGTCATACTTCCAGAAATCAAAACTTTAAACTGCTTCAAATGCTTTAGCTGTTCAGTGACCTCCTTATGAGCAGTGGTGATACGAACCTAGCAGAGATTTGTAGATTGATGGAAAGAAAAAGATAGCCTAATGCTTTGGTCATAATTAAAATGAAATTTTAATGAGTTTAAGCATTAAACAGAACTGAATGCACTTAAGCAAAATTATCCGCAAAAGCTTTCAAAAAGTACTAAGTGAACTACAGAGTACTATAAATCTAGAGTACAACTACTTTCACCTGCAATCATAAAGGATGGTTACTTGAAAGCATGAAAACAAAACACACTCTAAATAGCACAAATAAAAACAATTAAGAAACAGCACTCCTGTAATCCATCTTGGCAGATATTTTTCATGCAATGATAGAAAAAGGTTCACCATCAGGAAGAGAGATCGATGAAATGTTTGTAAAGAGGTATTTCTGCCAAGAATGGGGAAGAAGTTCACTCTTTATTTAAAAGCTCTTACTTTTCCTTTGTCTGGGTTCTACTTCATCTTTCCAGTTTTATTGGCAAAATAGTAAAAGAAAAAATGGAGGAAGCAAAATTAAAGAAAAGGGGAAAACACATGTGCATCATAATTTTCGAAGACATAAATATTGTTTCCCAACTGCAAGACAAATGTACTTGCTACAGGAGGATCCCCTGCACAGAAGACCAGGACAGGTACACAGCTGGAGTGCAGCAACACCCAGGACGGCAGAGCTGAGAGGGATGTCACCTAACAGGCTCAGGCACTACCAGCAGTAACGTTGCGGCAGTATGAGGGTCAGCACGGGACAGATGTTCAAGGAGACTCACGAGTCCCCAGGAAACTTCACAGACCAGGGTTTGCATGAGGGACCCTGAACTGCTTCAAGGTTCAAACTTGGCTGCACACAGTGGCAGCATCCCAGCTGCTCCCTATCCCCACTCACACGTTTGTCTCCACTGCAGGAGAACTTGGGCTTGAAAGAGATAAGGGAAGGATGCTATCAATCAACAAGACTCTGGTCTGAACAGGTAGGGAGGTACAATAAGAGTGCACAAACCAGAGGGGATCTGCAGGGTGCAACAGGCCTGCAGTTGAGGCTCTCCCAACTAAGCCCATGCCATTGAAGCATCCCGACTTTGGATGCCTGCAAGGTACATGGGATGTGCATGGATGTACGGGAAGAGAGAGATGTGCTTCCTCCCCGGGCTTGGCTTCTCTCCGTTTTCATGGGAGATGGATTTGAGCTGACAGGTCCAGGAACCCACTCCCACAAATTAAGGCTAGCACTGATATGCATACATCAATCACATCTTCTGACTGATCTGTGGACATTCTTGGGGAGACAATCTTCATGCGCATATGAGATAAAACGTCCATCACCCCTGAAAACTTGTGTGCTTTGTCTGCTGGGGTAGAGCTGGGGGACTCTGACAGACATGCCAGAGTGGGGCAACACAAATACACATATAAGATGGGTACATCAGCCCAAATGGCTGACAGGACGGCAAAGTGTTTCAGTGCCTTTCATAGCTCAATGACATCTAGAGTTAGTTCAGTTACTGAATAGCTTTTGGTACTATGTAATGAGAGGAGCAGATTCTGCCTTGTCAGACCTCAAACAGGGCTTGGACCTGAAGAGCTGGGATGACACCAGGTCATGACTTTCCTTCTTCTCCAGGTCAAAGGCTGGAGGAGGACTGTACCTGTGCTGTAAGGTCTCCCATTGAACACGGAGTGCACAGTTTATTTGAATTTCAGCTTCCCTTACGTTCAGTACATACAGGCTTGCTCTCACACCAGCAGCACAGTGATACCAGGACACAACACCCCACAGACATGTGGTGCTACACTTCACTCTCTACTTTTAAGGGCTCCACATACCTGCACTAAAACACATGCCCTTTCTTCACCTGACATCTAAAGAAAAGAATGAAGCCGGTCAACAGATAAAATAAGGCAACCTGCATAAAAAAGGCAAGTGGATGAGGATTTCTTTTCCCCCGTATTATATCTATTCCCTGTGATCAAAAGCACTGGCTGTAATCCAGCAAGCTTTCAAGGCGGTTGGTTTTTTTATTTAGTCAGATCATGCCTGCATTTTCATTTAAGGTGGCTGATGTCGACCAGATCTCAGCTCATCTTCCTGCCAGTGGTCTTACTGCAGCGCACAGCCCCTGCCTGGTTTTCCTGTGGAATGCATGCTTTTTCCCCATGATTTACTTGCTGTTCAGACTGGCTTCTAGAAAGGGTACAGGAACAGCACAACTACATGGCCACCTCTAAACTAGCCAGGAAGGCTAGTGAGTAGTATGAAGCCACACAGCACTGGCCAAGTTGCATTTGCAAGATAGATATTTTGGCAGCTTCATCAGATAAACTTGTTTTCACATCTTTGTGTCAAATCCATCTCATCTCTTATTCTTGGGTGAAAAGGATGCAATTATCCCTTATTAATCAAAACTGTTGCGTATCAGGCTAGCCAACGGGGAAATGAATGGACCTGCTGAATCTGAAATCACTCCTGATGCACGGCTGAGGCCCCTCAGCAGCCTGCAAGGTACACAGATGTGCATGGATGTACGGGAAGAGAGAGATGTGCTTCCTCCCCGGGCTTGGCTTCTCTCCGTTTTCATGGGAGATGGATTTGAGCTGACAGGTCAGGAACCCACTCCCACAAACCGCTGAGCGAGGTGCAATGGCACGTCGCACCAGCCAGCTCCGAGGCAGGACGCAGTTTCTCCCGGTCCCTTCAAGCCAGCCTCACGCTATCGCCTGTCTGCCTCTCCCTTGCCCTCACCTCCACGCGCCCTGCACTGGAGAGGCAGACAGAGCCCTCCCTTGGTCCTCTGTGGGACCGAGGCACAATTAAGAAAAACTCAGGAGCTGCAGAAGATCAGAAATTGAAGCAGAACTCAGCGTTCCGCTCCACCCGTCTTCCCTGTACGAGTTTAAAGATACTGTTATTATTTAACTTGCTAATGCAGTCTCTGAGTGCAGTACGCAGTAACTCAGTCTTAAACATCACCTTTAAGAGCCACAGCTCTTATCTCACTTCTTTCCTTTTATTGCAACAGATAAGGTAAAGACACAGACAGAATATAGGCAGGAAAAAAAGCTGCAATGTTGCTAGGAAACTAATTCAGAGAACACAGATACTTACAGGGTAAGGTTGAACAACAGTAAGGAGGATTGATTCTTTGCAGCTTCTATAAAAAGAAAAAAAAAGTAAAATCAAGTAAAGATTCATACTCTTATATGCTAGAGATAACCAGCTTTTCTTTTTTAATGGAGAAAACTGCAGTAATATGGCAAAATGTTTATTACAATCACATAGCAGAGAATTACAGAGATAAATAATACGTGAAATAACAATGGATATTAAAAAATAAGTTTTTTCCAATCTAACAAATTGAGTTGACTTAACTTCACAGTTTATGCTATGGAATATTTGCTTCATCAGAGAGACCTCCATGCTGCCAAAATGGTCTTCTCCAGCAAGAATGGAGTAACATATGATTAATCCATCAATTCAGCATCTATAGACTACACACTTCTTTTGCTTACTTTACAAATGCAAGCCACTTTTTATACCATCTAGCTCTTGTACACCTAATGCCAAATTTATCTAAGAGAGCAGTGTTTTCAAAACAAAAATGAGGACAAAATTTAGCCCCCAACTCTTCTCTAGCTTGCTTTTTAAAAGGGGTGGAAAAAGATCAGTATTTGGTGAACACTCCCATTAGAATTTTTATGTTTTTTACAAGATTGCTGAAGAAAGGTTCTTTAAAATTAAACAGTTCTTCTTTAGCATGAAATTCATAGATGGAGAACATATGACCAGGTCTAAAATAACCACAACTGATTTTCAAGATAAAGAAAAGAATTATTAGGAATCTTGATACAATAATGGTCTAGACAAATGAAAAATTTATATTTTGACTATTGGTGGGCAGTTGGGGGCGATGGATAACAGGGGAAAAGTAAGGGTAAAGTGGAAGAAGGAAGAGAAACCAATCACAGTCAATATCTCTTGTATTACATTGTTGGTCAGATGGCTCCTGAGGGCAATATTAGCTAAGAAAAGGTCAGTTGCCATTTTGTTTAGATGGAGTTGATTTTCTGTTGGTTTTACTACTTTCAAACACAATTAATTGCTTATTTGTGTGATTTATTGCCTGGGTAACTGAAATGCAACTGATTTGGCATGCCTGACCCGTTCAGCAGAACTAACTAAATACACAGTGTCACCTTATACGCATATTCACATCACTGATATGGAACTTAAAAAGCCAAAAAGCAAAGAAAATAGAGAAGATACCGAAGACCCATAAGAAAATTGGTCTGGAAAGTTGGGCCACACTTGATGACACCAACACATCTCTGAAGGCCAACTGGGATAGCAAAATCTAGTTTGGTCCAAGACATCAGTCATGCAAGGGGCAAGGTCTGACCCAGTACCCCCTAAGGACAGTAAAATCTGTTAAGGCTCAATTTTTACTCCCCTTGTTGGATATTTGTATCATTACACTAAAAGAGCATAGGCAGACTTTTTAAAAGGAGGGATTGAAGGCTTTGGTTGCTTGTTTGTGCTTGGAACAACAGAAATAAAATCAAGTTAGAAAGTTAAAAAAATATTAATGAGGAGCCACATGTGGTAAAAATTAAATATTCTGCCACAGAACAGCACGATTTTATCCCCTTTAGATATAATTATAACTACTTTAAGGAATTTCCCACAAATATTATTAATTTTAATAAAACATGTTCCAAGGTTAAAGTCCAGAAATTATTTATTCAATCATGAAACAGCCTTTATTTACAGTGTTCGTATTTGTGAAAATTTACAATTAATTTTTAAGGTCTGTAAGCTACAGTTTTGGAAATCTCCACAATTATTCTTTATTATTCTCCACTGTTATTCTTGAAAAGTTTATAGCTTATAGTTTAAAAGAAAAGCAACCTCCATTCTGTTTTGGCTATCAACAGGATTCCCTCTACTTTCTTTCTATTCTACCCACCACATTTCTGAAATCTGAAAATATATAAGAAAGGTAATTTATTACAAGAATCTCACGGTCGCATCTATGCTATCCCCATCTATACAATTTGTCACTGCTATATTAATCTAGGCATATCGACAGAAAAACCCACAGAGTTGTTAGCTATGGGATAAACTGCAGCCCTGGGACAACTACTCCACGCCCAGCTGACCTCTTCAATAACTTTCTAATTTACATAACATAAACTAATGTATATTCCTCATGAAACATAAGATGACAACCAACCCTGCCTCCTGTGGGCCAGCTATTGTAGAGAGTTGCCTTTAAAAGAGAAAAATCAGCTTCTCCTGAAAATGGTTTTCAGCTCTTCATTATGCTTGGATTAAATGTGTCCAAGCGCCAGTGTGGGCAAGATTCATCCTAGAGCTTTTTTAAAGCAAAAGGTCATCAGTGCTAAGATTTATTTTGGGGGCAAGACTTTCTTACAGGATAATCACTTGCATTGGAAGGATGCTCGACCCTGGACCATTCATTCAATGTTTGAGGCTATAGTAAGGCCATTTGGAGTATCTCGATGCAAGCATGTTACATATACGCTAAGCAGGTGTCAGGCACCATGTACAGTCCCCTCATGATTAGGAAAAACATTTTCTATAAAACACATGCTACAGATACAAAGCACAGCACAGTTACAAGAAAAATAAATATTTAATCAGCAGCTTTTTGATCTGCAGTAACCAGTCATGACCCCACCGCTCGTTTTAAATCCTCCTCAACTGATGACGGCAAAACTCCATACCACAGCACATCACGTTCTACTTCCAATACTGTTAGCAAATCCTAGATGTCTAAATGATAACCCTTGCACTGTCAATGAGAGACTGTCAATGGTACCATGTATTGTACATATTAGTAATGGAAAAACAATGGAATCACTGACCATGTGCTGGGATCTGTAAGTTTTATAGCTTAAATGTATGTGTACATACATATGTCCATGTGTGACAGTGGAACATACAAACAGTTTAGATTAGATTACATAAACCAGGTATGTCACCACACTTAAACGTGAGCTACTTCTTTTAAACAACTTCAGAAAACTAGTGACAAAGGCTAAAAAAACAATTGCAGTTTTACTTTCCCCCTGAAATGTCTTTTCCTCCTTTAAGAATGTGACTAAATTAAAAAAAAATAAAATTATATATTACAGATACTTAATTACCTTTCCTACTCACTTAACCACAACCTAATTATTTCTCTTTTAAATCTACATACTCTTTAGAGTCACGCAAGACCAAATATTTGCAATTCCAAGCTTGGACAACAGCTCAGGACTTGCTGGGTGCTCTGCCATCTGGCCAGCTAACACCAACACCACAATAAAATACTGTCACGTCTCTTTCATTTCCTGACATTAGAATCAAGCGATGAGAACAAGGCTAAAATCTGCAAACTGCAATGGGCGTTTCAGTGATTCATCTCTTTGTCCTTCCCATGTGGTCACTGTATTTGTCCGTTCTCCCTACTCCTTACAGCTACTTAGGCTGTAACAAGGAGAGAATATAGATGGTTTGAGAATCAAATTACGGCATATTATAAAGGTTAAAGTTGTATTACTAAGTATCACGCATCTCAGGCTACACGAGGCATTAACATTCAGCTACGAAGCCAACCATTGACTTTGTCTGTGAACTTGTGGCTGGAAATTACTGTCTCTCTTCTGCTTCCTTCTCGCTGGAACAGAGGAAGGGATGTGGGGGCAGACGAGGGACGTGGGGGGACTCCCAGTATCTGAGCCATATGGAATAAGTGGCTCTGTTCTTCATATACGTCCTACAGCAAATATAACTCATGAACAAAGAGAAAGGATGTACATTACCTGTACTCACTCTTAAGAACCAAGAATGGAAAATTATTGTTTATGTTAATTTAAAAGCTTTTAGCAGTTTTCCATACTAGAGGAGCACTAGGTTTCTCTCCCAGTGAAGATGACTGAATTAAGAATTGATATATAATAAATAATATAATTTACAGGGAATGCAATTAGGAAAAATCTTTCTCTTAACCATAACTCATCTCTTTTTCACTCACACTGAACATCAAATTCTGAAACTCTTGTTTTGCAATGCTTTGTTCTCTGCTATTTCAGGATACTCTGTTTCACTTTGTGCCTCACTATTGATGAGATAGGTCTGAATTTCACAATTATGGAGTGTGATGATTTGCAGTATGCTTCACACTACATTTTTGAAGTAAGGAAATGGAAGTCAGTGGGTCAAAAACTAACTACAAAATGTAAGAGGTTACCTCAAACACCCTGTTCAAAGATAAGGAAAGTGGAACTCATCTTCAAATTCTAGCATCTAGGCTAGAGAAAAATCATTCAGCATTTGCATGTCTTTCATTATTATGAAGATTAAGGCAGTAATAACGAACAAAGAGTTTGCAAAGTCACTCTATTGTAGTACATTTCAAATGCATAATTTTCATTTGAGCTGTGTATACATTTTTACATAAAACCTGTTCTACAGGTTTTATGTAAAATAAAATTCCCTTCACCTAGGGAAGCTCCAAATTTCACTTCTCCAGACTTTCCTCATGAGCAACAGTTCCTGTGAAAAAGAATAGTTTGCCCCAGAGATCTGCCTAGTTTTATTTCCAGAGCTGGAGACAGCTTCTGGAAGGACCTCGATGGGACCCATCCTAACCCAGTGTTGCCTCATCCTCTGCTGTTATCACGCTGTCCATCCCAGTGTGCCTCCAGGTCCTGCAATAAGGCCAACCTGCCTGAATGGACACGGGGAACCTTGATAAGCTAGTGAACAAGCTCAGTATTCATCGACACCCATGAAACAATACAGAGGGACAAGGGGAGAGACGCTTTAAGGAGATTATGCCTTTCCCCAAGGCTATTTTCATCACAGGAGAAGCAGTGCTGTGCAAACACAAACACACAAGCTAAAAGCCCATGCAGTCCAGCTCCTCTGCAACAGAGAACTCCTCCAGCAAGAGCCATGGTGTGTGGGGGTCTTCCTGCTCCATCTCCAAAAGCAGCACTGCAGCACACAAACTACAGGCAACACTTCCATGACTCAGTAGCTTGTAACTGAGAAGTACAATAGATTAAGCCAGGCTGGAAGCCATGCTACTGTGGGCTGCTTGGTTCTGGCCTCTTGATTACATCTACCCATAGATGAACGTTGATT